ATCTATGAGATAGAATCATCGATCAGCTACCTCTTGCACAACTTAGGGGATGTGCCTGCAACTAAGGTACATGCCCTTGACTGGAATCGAACCTGGGACCTTTCAGTCCGCAGGCCGACGCTCTATCCACTGAGCCAAACCAGTTTCGGCTAAAATATATATTTTTTAAAAATCCTCGGTGAGGGTTAAGAACAAAAAAGAAAGAAAGGAATCAAAAGAGAGAAGAGAAAGATGTGTCCTAACTGGTTTGGCTCAGTGGATAGAGTGTCGGGCTGCGGACTGGAGGGTCCCAGGCACGATTCCAGTCAAGGGCATGTACCTTGGTTGCAGGCACATCCCCAGTGTGGGCTGTGCAGGAGGCAGCTGATCAATGATTCTCTCTCATCGATGTTTCTAATTCTCTGTACCTCTCTCTTCCTCTCTGTAAAAAAATCAATAAAAATATTTTAAAAAAAGAGAGAGAGAAAGAAAGATGTGCTGAGCTGAAGGAAGATGCAATGGTTTACTGAGGGGCCACGGAGCTCCAAGCAGCACACACAGAAGACGGCGAAGCAGCCCCCTGCCAGCCCATCCTGAGCGCTGGCTTGGAGGACAGCCAGGAGAGCATTCGGATTGAAGCAGGGGAGTTGGGGGGGGGGCGGTCTCTGCGCCTGGCTGCTTCCTGTCCTGGCCGCTTCCTGTGTCTTCACCTGCCAGGCCCCTCGTCATGTGTGAGGTTCGGCCCCCAGCTGCGGAGCCACTGTGTGCAGGCCCAGGCCGAGGGCCAGGGAAGAGCAGCCCGGGCTCCCGTCCTAACAAAAGCACAGGGAGAACGGACAAGCTCTCAGCCTCTTCAAGGCGACGACCCAGAAGCATGGAGTAGACGAGGGAGTAAGAATGAGTGAGAGAGCACACCGTCCACCCGGTTACCCTGGGCCCGCCCGCTCTCAATCCCGCCATCTCCCCCTACACTCCCAGAGCTCACCCTGCCTCTGGCTCCTGCAGCAGCAGCCCCTGCTGCCCGGCTCTCTCCAATCTCATTCCTGTGCCAGGGAGGTCTTCCTAAAACAGCCTGAGCCCAGCACACTCTGCGCAAACTTTCCAGGACAGAGCCCAGTCCCCACAGAGACCCCGCAGCTGGCTCCCTGAAGGCTCTGCCAGGAGCCGCAGCCAGCTGGCTTTCCAGGCTGTGGCCGGAACAGGGAAAGGGGCCGGCAGGGCCCACTGGGCCGGGCGGATGAAGGCCTGGCACGCAGGGCTGTCCTGGCGGCCTCGACTCACCGTGAGCAGGTGACAGCTCGTTACCTAAGTGCACAGGAGTGCCTCCTCTGCCCAGGGCTCCTTATCTTCAAAGCTTCTGCGGTGGAGAAACCACAGCTGCCTCCTTCCCGAGTCCTCCCCCGCCCCCGTGAGAACACAGGCCCTTGGCCTGTGTCCTCTGGCCAGTCTTCCCGCTACCTGTAGCCAGGCAGGAGGCACCATTCAATGGCAACAAATAACCAGGCTGGCTACGGTGACCGGGGGTCTGCGCTGGGGGGATGGGTGAACGAGCCACCAACCCTGTCCTCAAGCTGGTGAGCGGGCGGGCCGGATGCCACAGACTATTTCGGAGCCAGATGCTGGAGCCCTGGCTTTGCCCCTGGTCATGGCCGTGTGTCCTAGAGCAGTGTTTCCCAAAGTGCGGTCGGCTTGGGGACTGAGGGGACCAGGGTTCGATTCCGGTCAGGGGCATGCACCTTGGTTGCGGGCATATCCCCAGTGGGGGGTGTGCAGGAGGCAGCTGATCGATGACACTCATCGATGTTTCTAACTCTCTTATCTCTCTCCCTTCCTCTCTGTAAAAAATCAATAAAATATATTTAAAAAAACAAAAACAAAAAAAAACACCCAAGAAGCTGGAGGCCTGCCCTTGGCTCAGACGGGACCACTGAGGACCCAGAGGGAAGGAACGAGAAAGGGGAGGCCAGGGGTGAAAGGGGACGGAGAAAACTGAGCAGACGGGGCTGAGGTCGCAGGGCTGTGGGGACGCCGCCAGGGTTCTCACCCTGGCCAAGCCGGGAACCCCTGCGAGCTCCCCGGGGCCGGCCACCCCGGCCGCCTCTGAGGTCTGTCTGTGCAGGGACCCCGCACTGGAATTCCAGGGGCAGCGGGTGGGCGGACCACTGGCTCTCGGGAGCTCGGAAAGCCCTGCGGGGAGCAAACCTGAGCACCCGCGTGTCCCACACCCGCCTGACCACTTCTAGAAACAAACCCTTAGCTCTGCCGGGAGCGTGTAGGGAGGACTCACCGGGACGTGCAGACCAGGGCTGACAGCACAGTCTCTGGGGCGGGAGGCCTGGTTCCGATCCCGGCTCTGCCAGGGGGAGCAGGCACCCTGTCCCTGCCCGCCTCTGGGCGCTGTGAGGAGGCGGATGTGAACCAGAAGTTCACAGAGATACATCATTCACACATAAACTGACAGAGGAGGGCTGCCCGAGAGAGACTGGGGCGGGGGCGGCGAGAACGTTACGAGGACACCGGCACTCCTGTGGCTCCTCGGAGGAGGGGCCGTGTGGGCTCAGACTGGAAGGACTGACAGGTGTGAACCCAGAGAAGCTCTGACAGGCGACATGAGCTGGGAGAGGAAGGCGAAGGCTGGGACAAGCAGGAAGAAGAGGGGACCGGGATTAAAGGAGAGGGGACGGATGTGACACGGTGAGACAACAGAATGGGCAGGCCTGGTTGGCTAAAGGTGATGGAGAAATGGCAGATGGCAGGGACCACTGAGTTTCTGGCTTGAAAGTCAGGATGAGCCCTAGCTGGTTTGGCTCAATGGATAGAGCATCGGCCTGCGGACTGAAAGATCCCAGGTTCGATTCTGGCCAAGGGCACATGCCTGGGTTGTGGGCTCAATCCCCAGTAGGGGGCGTGTAGGAGGCAGCTGACCAATGATTATCATCATTGATGTTTCTGTCTCTCTCTCCCTCTCCGAAATCAATAAAAAATATTTAAAAACAAAAACAAACAAATAAACAAACAAAAACACACACAAGTCAGGATGGATGGGGCTGCTGAGACAGTGCAATGCCCCCGCCCCCTCCATCCCCAACACAGGCCAATGCAGACCCCTTTCCCATGCTTTCCGTTCCGCATACCATCTTCCCAATGTACCACACGTGACTCACTTATCTTATTTGTCTGTCTCGCCCACTGCAACAGGAGCTCAGGAGGGCAGGTTACCCCAGAGCCGGCATCACGGCCTGGCACCCGCAGGCTTTAGTTGTTTGTTGAATGAACAAGCCCTGAAAAAACTAGGTTGACATCATATCTAACACCCTCCTTAGGGCTTCTAAATTGGGAAGAAAACCTAGGCCACGAAAATATCTTATAGCCCTAGCCGGTTTGGCTCAGTGGATAGAGCATCAGCCTGTGGACCAAAAGGTCCCGGGTTCAATTCCGGTCAAGGGCACAGACATTGGTTGCAGGCTCCTCCCTAGCCCCAGGCCCTGGTCAGGCACACGTGTACCGGAGGCAGCCGATCAATGTGTTTCTCTCACATCAGTCTTTCTCTCTGTCTTTCCCTCTCTCTTCCACTCTCTCTCTGAAAATCAATGGGAAAAGATATCCTCAAGTGAGGATTTAAAAAAAAAAAAGTCTTACTTATACAAGATGATCATAATAAGAATATTAATGAAAAAAGTGAGCCCAGCCCCCATTTAGTACGCACACACTCTCTCCTCCATCCTTTCTTTTTAGTAACAGTCTTTGCAGCAATAACTCCCATCCTTTGAGGGCTGATTATGTACTTTTTAACAATATATATTTTATTGTTTTTTTACAGAGAGGAAGGGAGAGGGAGAGTTAGAAACATCAGTAAGAGAGGAACATTGATCAGCTGCCTCCTGCACACTCCCTACTGGGTAATGTGCCCGCAACCAAGGTATATGCCCTTGACTGGAATCGAACCCGGGACCCTTGAGTTCGCCGGCCCACGCTCTATCCACTGAGCCAAACGGGTTAGAGCCTGATGATGTTTTAGACATTGCACTAAGAGCTTTAAAAGTTTGAGCTTGCCTGTATTTCGTAGCGACCAACTTCCAAAATGCTGAGCATGCGCCTACCTCAGTGCTTTGCACCTGTTCCAGGCATGCTTTTCCCCATGTATCCCTGGGCCTTGTTTCCTCCCTCCTCTTCCTCAGAAATGCTCTCCTCTAGAATCTACCACGCCACACCTTTTCTTTCCCTGACTTTACTTAGGTTTTCCCTGTGGAAATTGTCACTAGTTCTCCACAGGACTTTTATCGTTTGTTTGACAACCCTACTAAAATGTAAGCTTCATAACAAAACTAAAAAGTGTATAAAAAACATAAACGTTTCGCAAGGACACTGAAACAGAGCCTGGAACATAAAGACGTTCAATAAGTGTTTGTTAAATTAACAGATGTCCCACTCTGAGACTCAGGTGGCTTCGATGCCCATTTTATAAAGGAAGAAACTGAGGCACAATGATTCTCACCCTTAATGAGTGTCGCAGGGATTCAACCCAGAAGTCCTCAGAGCACCTCCAATATAGTAATTATTATAATTACTGCCCACTTATTCAGTGCCAGGATTTGAGCTCAGAGCTTTACCCCGAGCTGTCTCGCTCAATCCTACAAGCAACCCGTGAGGCCTGCCCGGATGGGACCCCCAGAGCAGTGGTCGGCAAACTCAATAGTCCACAGAGCCAAATATCAACAGTACGATTGAAATTTCGAGAGCCAAACTTTTTTAACTTAAACTATAGAGGTAGGTACATTGTTATTAACTTAATTAGGGTACTCCTAAGCTGGCCTTTGCTAAAAACTCAAGGGGCCCAAGAGCTGAATGTGGCTCGCGAGCCGCGGTTTGCCAACCACTGCCCCAGAGTACAGAGTTCGGAAGCCAGCGCCCCAGGTCGCCCGGCGAGGCGGGGGCGGGGCCAGAATTCGACCCGGGCCGCCGCCACGCCCTCTCGCCCCCCGGGACCTCTATCCCACTCTCCCGCCGCGACCTGCGCTCACCCCGGGGCCGGGGTCGAGGTCGGAGTCGGGCGCCCACAGCTCCGCCACCATCTCCGTGTGCAGAAGCTCGAACAAAACCGCGTCCACCATTCGTCGGCCTCGCGCGCTCCCTACCTAGGCCCGGCGCTTCGTGCTCCCATTGGCCCGGCTGAGCTAGCTCCGCCTCCCGCTGCGGGACGCAGGCCCGCCCACTCACGCTCCCACGATGCTCCCAGGGAGCTCCGCCCTCCCCCTCCTCACACGCGGTGCGCGCGTGAACTTGGGGGACCGCCTTCTCCGCCTATTTGTCCACTCGCCTCGCAGCACAACCCGGAAGCGCAGCTAAAGCGCTTCTCTATTGGTGGGACTTTTATATACCCTCCCACAACGTAGGTCCTCGGGGCGGCTTGCTGCCTGGTAGGCCCACGTGATTGGTCAACGCCCGCACAACCTGATGTCCTATTGGTTGGGGCTGCCACGCCTCCCTCCGTACCGGCGCTGCACTTCCGCTGGGTATCGCGTTCCGCAGGCTCCGAGTTTCCTCTACCCGGTAAGGTCCTTAGTGATGGCGCAGCCCTCCGCCCCCGCTAGTCAGTGCTCCCTTCTGAGTGCGGCGGGGCTGTCGGTCACTCTGTGACCCCGGCACAGGCCCCTGAGCAGATCCTGGAGCCCGTGAGCTTCCGGATGTGGCCTCTGCTAGGAGGCAAAGTCGGAAAGAGCCCAGTGTGGGACCCTGAAGCGGCGGCCTCGGTTTCCCTGTCAGTGCACTGAAGAGGGTGGTGGGGTCCGGAGCCCGGACATCGCTGGCGGGGATGCTGAGTCCCCTGAAGTGGGAAATGAGGCCCAGGCCAGGGACGTGATGGCCCCAAATCGCTAGGATAGCGGAGGGGCTGGGGACCCAGAAGATGCGCCTTTCAGCCGCCCCGGGCGCCCGCCTCTCACGCCGTCCCCGCGCTCCTCTTCCTCCCTAGCTCGGCGCCATGGCGTCTCAGGGTCCTCGGAGGAGGCCGCCGCGAAGGCCCGGGACGGTGGTGCGGGGAGAGGCGGCGGAGACCGACTCGGAGCTCTCGGCGTCCTCGTCGGAGGAGGAGGAGCTCTACCTCGGACCCTCGGGCCCGACGCGCGGCCGCCCCACCGGGCTGCGGGTGGCCGGGGAGGCCGCGGAGACGGACTCTGACCCGGAGCCGGAACCGACGGCCGCGCCGAGGGACCTGCCGCCGCTCGTGGTGCAGCGGGAGACCGCCGGGGCGGAGGCCTGGGGGACGGAGGAGGCCCCGGCGCCCGCCCCGGCGCGCTCGCTGCTGCAGCTCCGACTGGCCGAGAGCCAGGCGCGCCTGGACCACGACGTGGCGGCCGCCGTGAGCGGCGTGTACCGCCGCGCGGGCCGCGACGTGGCCGCCCTGGCCGGCAGGCTGGCGGCCGCCCAGGCCACAGGGTTGGCAGCCGCCCACAGCGTGCGCCTGGCGCGGGGAGACCTCTGCGCGCTGGCCGAGCGCCTGGACATCGTGGCCAGCTGCTGCCTGCTGCCTGACATCCGCGGCGTGCCCGGGACCGAGCCCGAGCAAGACCCAGGACCGCGGGCCTAGCCTTCACCCCAACCCCCGCCTGCCTCTGCGTCCTGGGGGAGCAAGGGGGGCTTGTGACCTGGCTCATACCCTATATAGCCCCCCTCCCGTCTTGCTGTCATCCTCAGGTCCGACCCCACCCCCTGGATAACGTTGTGTGTGTGTGTAGGGGGTGGGGGGAGGTAATGGTGCTTAGTCCCACCATTTGCATCTGGTTCCTCCCAGTGGTCCTGGCCCTTCTGGTGCCTGTATCTGAGGCTTGGCTCCAGCCCCTGGATAACCAACTGCTCCGTCTTAGGGGCTCACTGTCTCCCCCACCCCCCCACTTCCTTGCACTCTGCCTTTCTAGGTTTGGATTTTGCCTTGGGAGCTTGATGCTGCTGCTTCCCAGAGGAGCCCCAGCATCTATGGATAAGGGCTGCCAATCTCCTCTACAGACACACTTCCTCTGCGTTACGCATCCTGCAGACTCCGAGCTTCCTGGCACTTTCCTTCACCCTCCTGGCTCCGCCTCCATTCTAGCCACACTTCTGGAAGTTTGTCCCCCAGGGCTGGCCCTGGCTCCCTCCTAGGTTAGCCCTTGCTCTGCCATCTCCCGGCTGCTTCTCCTGGGGCTTAGCTCCTCCCCTTTGGCCTGATCCGTCGCCTGGGTCCGGTTTAACTTTAGGATTGGTTTTGCTTCATGTTTGCGTTTCCCATCCTGCTTACACCGCCTGCCTGGTCCTGGGCTCTGGAAACCCTATGGTTTGTCATCAGGCCCAAGATGGGGCCCCCTCCTCCCCACTCTGCAGACTCAAGATGGCGTCTCATCCAGACCCAGAAGTAGGTGGGTCCCCCGCACTTTGTGCCTGAGGGTGACATACAAAACGAGCTTCCTTGCAGGCGGACAGTGGCACCCCTCAGGCACCTCGGGTCCAATACAGACTGCCTGGTCCCTTGGGCGCAGTATGATACCACTTTGCAGATAAAGACCACACACGGTATTAGTTCACTGTTCTGTTCCTTCTTCTGGCCCCAGCCCTAGTCCCTCCGCCCCACTCACGTGTGCGCCCCTCCCCACTCTTTTATCCCAACCTAAAGCTGAGATCTGAGTCCCAGGGTGGAGAAGTGTGGGAGATTAATGAATCTATGGCAGATGCATTAAAAGACAAAACATTGACTGAAATGGTCAGTTCCTCTTGCCTCCCCACTTAGGCTGGGGGTGGGTTGGTTGGAAGTTTCTCTGAGCCGAAACGGGTTTGGCTCAATGGATAGAGCATCAGCTTGGGGACTGAAAGGTCCGGGGTTCGATTCCAGTCAAGGGCATGTACATTGGTTGCGGGCACATCCCCAGTAGGGGGTGTGCAAGAGGCAGCTGATCGATGACTCTCATCGATGTTTCTAACTATCTCCCTTCCTCTCTGTACAAAATCAATAAAATATATATATTTTTTAAAAAGTTTCTCTGAGAATGGGGGTCCTGAGAGAGATCCTTCTTGACTGGCCTAATGAAGGTGAAGCTGCATCTGAAAATGAGGGCCCTTCATTTGCCTGTTTCTTGCCTGGATCTGCATTTATTTGTATTTTGTTAACTTGCATTTACTGGCCACCTACCTGTTCTGTGTCTGGTCTGTGTTGGGCAACCAGTACAGACCCTCACAGCTCACAGCCCATTGGGAGAGACGGACATTAATAAAATACTCTTGTAAACAGATGGATAGTTTTAATAATTATGATTTACAGCTTAGATTTTACTGTCCTGGCACTGTGATTTGTGTCATAAAGAGGTACAGGAGTTTTGCGAGGGTGTAACATCTGGCCGACCTTGTTTGTGGAGACAGACGGGGAGGTCAGCTGGCTTTGCCGGGGAAGCAATGAGTGAGTCTGAATTGGACCCGGAAGCTATAAGTAGGAGGAAGAGTGGGGTGGAGAAACCCTGAGTCAGAAGGGAGCATGACCCATTTAAGTAACAGAAGGTGGCGATCAAGGGCCAGGAAATGGCTCTGAGTAGGACGTGGGAAGAGGGCACATAGGTTTACAAGGGCACAAAAACAGGAACCCACTCCCGGCAGTGGCCAGCGCCCTGGGTGTTGACATTGCTGCTTTTGGGGCGGCAGCTGTGCCCACCACTGCCACCAGGCTTTTGTCTGTGGGAGGGAGCAACAGAATAGACTCAAGGTGTCCCGGCGAATGTTGGGAGTGCCCTGAGGTATTTCATGTCCCAAGTAGGTGGCAGTGGTATGCACCCACTGAAGCTTCGATCTGGAGGCTTTACCACCTCGTTCAGCCAGTGCCTTAAGGAGAACGAGGAGTCTATAAAGTCACCCTGCCCAATCTGGTTACAGAGTAAGAGGTCATGGAAACCCTGAACAAGGTGAAGGCTACAAAGCCTGCGCCTTAGGAACTTGGGAAAGCATCGGCCTGTGGACTGAAGGGTCCCGGGTTCGATTCCGGTCAAGGGCATGTACCTTGGTTGCAGGCACATCCCCGGTGGGGAGTATGCAAGAGGCAGCTGATCGATGTTTGTCATCAATGTTTCTCATCAAATGTTTCTAACTCTCTATCAATAAAATATATATTTTTAAAAAGAACTTGGGAAATACTGAGGGAGACTAGCAACGTCGCTGAGGCACAGGAGTCCATGTTGTCTCCCTCTACACAAAGCAAAGAGAAGTCACCAGTCAGGATGCAACGGGATGGAAAAGAAAGCTGAGCAGATGCAATGACAATAAACGGTCTGTGTCAGCAGGAATTGCTGTGAGCGCGGACTGCAGTGTGACCAGGAATTACAAAAGGGCTTACGTTGTGCAAGTAGAAGATTTGATTCTCTTCTGAAATCAAACTTGCCTTCTGTTCCAAGTAGGATTGAAGTGCTGCCAGGTGAGGACGAAGAGGTAAGAGCAGCTTACTGCGGAGGAGTCTGACAGGTTTGATGCCCTGTTACCTAGAGGATGAATGAGATTAGAAATGAACTAGAATTGGGCTACAGGTGAGAGAGGGTTTATTCCTTTTCCAGACACTGCGCAAGTTCTGCACTCAGTAGTAATGCAGCCCCATTTGCATCTGAGCCCCAAAGACTAATCAGAACATATCTTAAGGTTCACTCCTCTCCAGATTAATTTATATTCAGAAAATAGGAAGTTCGAGGTTTGATGTGAGGCCAGGGACATAAAAAAAACATCTTGGGCCGAAACCAGTTTGGCTCAGTGGATAGAGGGTCTGCCTGTAGATTGAAGGGTCCCAGGTTCGATTCTGGTCAAGGGCATGTACTTTGGTTGCGGGCACATCCCCAGTAGGGGGTGTGCAAGAGGCAGCTGATTGATGATTCTCTCTCATCGATGTTTCTAACTCTCGATCCCTCTCTCTTCCTTTCTGTAAAAAATCAAAATATATATTCACACACACACACACACAAAACATAGTGTGTATATATATATATATATATATATATATATATATAATTGATTTTTTATAGATAGGAAGGGAGAGGGATCGAGAGGGAGAGAACATCGATGAGAGAGAATCATCAATCAGCTGCCTCTTGCACACCCCCTATGGAGATGTGCCCTCAACCAGTGTACATGCCCTTGACTGGAATCAAACCAGGGACCTTTCAGTCCGCAGACCGACGCTCTATCCACTGAGCCAAACCGGTTTCGGCACAAAACATAGTTTAAAAAAAAAAAAAAATCTTGGTGGTGTTTTTATTACCAGAGGCCCGGTACACGAAATTCATGCACAGGGTCCCTCAGCCCAACCTGCACCCTCTACAATCCAGGAGCTCTCAGGGGGTGTCCTACTGATGGCTCAGGCCCACTCCCCGTGGTTCTCTGTGGGGCCAGAGGTTTTGCTGCAGCCATGGAGATGACGCCCCCATGCCCTGCTCTCTGATCTCTGCCTGCCTCCGCCATGTGCCATGTGCCTTGCCAAGGAAACCGCAATGCCCTGCACTGTGCTCTGTCTGCCAGGCCTGGGCTTCCCTGCTGCCACCACACTCAGGAAGCCCCCATGCCCTGCTGTTTGGGCTCTCACTGCTTGTCTGGGGGCAGATCAAGACTCGATGCTTGGTCCCCCCAGAACCTGGGCAGGGCTAACAGGCCCAGACACTCAGCAGTGGTGGAGCAGGGAGGCAAATCCAGCCTCACTGCTCCTGCAGACAGGCTGACACTCCAGCAGCCGGGTGAACGGACTGGGTGCCGCCATCTTGTGGCTATGGGGGCCTCCATTTTGTCGCAGAGTGATGGTTATTTTGCATATTGTTCTATTATTAGAGAGGATGGTGAGAAGGCTAAAAAGAGCTAATTCCAATGTAACCCTGATAATTTGGGGGCTAGCAATTGGAATCTATGCTGGCAAGCTCAGTGTACATTCTTTTTTTTCCTTTTTTAAAAATATATTTTATTGAATTTTTTACAGAGAGGAAGGGAGAGAGAGAGAGCTAGAAACGTTGATGAGAGAAACATCGACCTACTGGGGATGTGCCCGCAACCAATGTACATGCCCTTGACCGGAATCGAACCTGGGACCTTTCATTCCGCAGACCGATGCTCTACCGCTGAGCCAAACCAGTTTCGGCTCAGTGTACATTCTTTGATAACCTATAATTAAGTCACTATCTCCTTCCCAGAAACTGGTCTTGCAGAAGCTATTGCAGAGGCCATAAAACTGAACAGTGCACTGCCATCAGATACGGCCTGGAGACCCCCACGCCTGGGGCCCTTCTTGCAAGGCCCGAGAAAAGGATGGGAAGCGGAATCCATATTCGTGTGACAAAGACTAGAGGGAGGTGTAAAGAGAAGCCCCTGCATGTTTCTTCACTCGGATTTGGAAAGTCATTCCCTGAGTCCCGTGTATTAAACAGTGTCCCTCCTTTTCTTCAAAGCATCACTTGGTTTTCTTTGATCTTCTGCAACAATGGTGGCGTTGAATTTCCATATCAAATCTACCCGAGAAAGGTTTGCAGGTGAGGAATCCCGAAGCAGGAAGGCGCTGGGGATGACAGAGGGCCTAAGGCTATCAGAGCTGCCTACGTTGAGGCAGTA